TCTGTCAATGTGCTGATTGTTCCTTTTTCCCATAAACTCTACATGTAGCCACCCCTCAACCCCCCATGCTTGCTAAATATCAACCAATCATGTAACTGCTAAATGGAACATCCCCAAACCTTGTGGTAGCCACAATAAAAACCCTGCTGAGTTAAAATTCTGGGCTCTCAATCCTGATCCGCTGCATCCGTGATGGTTGAGTGTCCCTGCTCGAGCTTAAATAAATGACCCTCGTGTGTTTACATCGAAATCGGCTCCTTGGTGGTCTTTGGGGACTTCGCGATCTGGGCACAACAGCTGCTTCATCTACCCATGTCTGCCTTTATTGATTTCTATCATATACAGTCCGAGGCAGTTGATGAGCACAGGAATAAGGCCTACAATTTGTTGCAACCTATGTGTTGAAACCCTCAGCAAGATGATGGTGGTGGTGGTGGTGGTGGTGGTGGTGGTGGTGGTGGTGGTGGTGGTGGTGTGTGTGTGTGTGTGTGTGTGTGTGTGTGTGTGTTTATCCACGTGCTGTACTCTCCCCCCTAGTGCTCACTTCGGCACTACATATACTCCACCCCAGTTCACCTCAGACCAATTTAAGTTTTCTCATGAGATTTTGCTTTCTTTTTATAACTTTATTTTTTATTAGTACATATTTGTCATACATGTGGATCACATCCATAAGGAATTTGTGCCTGTACATAGTATATCTTTTTTTCCCCATTCTCATCCGCTCCCTTCAACCCGTCTTCCCTCCCCATTTACAAAAGGGATTTCCCTTCTTGCATTCTTTTTTTTCCCCTTCCCTCTCCCCCCTCCCTTGTTTCCCTTCCCATTTGAACATGTTCTTCCTGCTTCTCAATATCCTCCATTATGCTCCTTGTTTACCCTTTGGGTTTCTCACACAAGAGAAATACAATAAAAGTACTTTTTTCATACTCAGATTAAACCCAGGACTTTCACACTGAGGTACATCATCAGCCATGCATTTTGAGATAAGGTCTGTTGCCGAGCTGGCCTGGAACTTGTGATTTTCCTCCCTTGGCCTCCCACAGTATAGGATTATGGTATATGCCACATCTAGATGGTGTGCTCTTTTAGTTTGTGATCCTAAGGTGCTCCATGGCATACACTGAGAGCAGGTATTTAAGTAATCATTTAGCCAAATATTTAGTACATTCAACTAAATTTCTGAGTTCTGAATGTTTGGGTTTAGCACAGGGACCTATGTATACTTATTGCATGTGCAGTTAGTTTGTGGGTGTGTGCCCTACCCTATCAGTGTGCCATGTATACTGTATGAGCATTAGGGGCATCTCTGTAGTGTTTTTTTTTTTTTTCTGTAGTGTATTTTGCATAAATGGGGACATGATATCAATGCAAACTGTGTCGTGTCTGTATAAAAACCATACTCTTTAGAGCCGGAGAACACAGCTGGCAGAGGTCTGTATTCTGCCATTTATTTGCTTCCTTTTTTTTTTGGTACTGAGGATAGAATTCAGGACCTTGTGCTTTCAAGGCAGGCAGGGGAACCACTGAGCTAAATCCCCAGACTTCTGCCATTTATTTGCACCTGCTTCCAACTAAGCCAAATTCCCTGGGCTTCAACTCCCACATTTGTAAAATATGGGGTATAATACTTAACCCATAACTATTCACCAAGAGGTCTACCTTTCAGGACGTTGTGAGGATGAGAAAAAATAACTGGTGTGAAGTGCCCAGCACAGTGGCATAGACTAGGCACTCAATAATTCAGTGTTTCATTTTGTGTAAGGATCTTGAGACCAGCATGTCTGACCTGGGTTTCTTGATGCCATTCCTCCCCATGCCATCTCCAATCTCCTGATCCAAGCCCAAGGTCTGGACCTGAGCAAGTCAAGTCTCAGTAGATGATCTGTCCCTGCTGGGACCAGGGCTAGGACCCCTAGCGAGTTCAGAGCATCTTGAACTTGAGCTTAATGGTGAGGTCATTGCTGCAGCCCAGGGTCAGCTATTTCTTAGCCCTAAACAGGTCACTGCTACCATTCTGATAGCCAACAGTGGGGGCCCTGGGGAGGGCAGGTTCAGGTCCCTGCCTGGTCCCCTGCAGTTGATAACTGGTAATGAGGTCCAGCTTGCTGTGGCCAGAGTCAGCTGCTTCTCATCCTCATAGGCCCCTCTATCCCTGAGAGCATTATCTGTCCAAGGAGACCACTGGGCCCCGGCTCCCCACTTGGGAATGGGCCACCTTGAAGCCCAGCTGGCTATCACCCAGGGTCTATGTTCACTCATCTAGACCCTGCTGCTTGCCAGGCCCAGCCTTGCTCTAACCTCACTTCAGGCAGGTAAGCCACCTGTAGGATCAGGCTGATCAAGCAAGATTACTCTGCTGGCTGTGATAAACCCTGCAAGGATCTATCCCTTAGGCAACAAGGATGAAAACTAGTGATTTGTTCCTCAAGGGCAAGACCCAAAGAATGTGATCACCCAATCCTGTCCCAGCACCCTAGGGCAGAGACCCCAAGGTTCTATTCCGGTACAATCCAGACTCATGGCACTGCCCCACTCTCCCATGAGCTCACTGTCAACCTAAGCTCTGGTGACAATAGCCCTGGAGGCCAAGCCAGGACCTACCCATCTTCCTTAGGTCAAAGAGGACAAGAATGTCCAATGGATTGGATTCTTATCCTCCGAAAGCCAGAGAAGACCAAGACAAGCTGTGTGGAAAATGTGAGAACACAAAGGAGTGCTTCTTCCTCTTGCCCCGGGATGAAGCCCCGTTGATAATGACAGAGACGTCTGCGTCCTGTGTATGTCTCTCCCCTTCTGCCCTCCCAGAATGCTTGAAATGGGGAGAGGGTGTTGCACAGGCTGAGGCCCACAGACAGCACACTCAGAATGGCCAGAGGCAGGTGCCCTTTAATGGGGTCCCCCAGAACAGCAGAATCCTCATCCAGGAGCCAGAGCACAAGAGGGTTTTTGCAGAAACAATAGATTCAGAAGATGGGACCGGTGCAGGGCTGAGAGGCCATCCACTCCGTTTCACTGATCCCTCTGCCACACCTTCCTGGCAGCAGCAAGTCCAGACCAGGTCAGGTGTGGGGGTAGGAGCCAAAGTCCAGAGGCTGGAGCCCAGGAGCAGCATGGAAGGTGACTCAGGTGAGGCTGCAGGGAGGAGGAGGAGCACTGTCAGGAACTGCTTCACAGGGCACACCTCACCCCTCCCCTGGACCTTTGTTCTAGCTAAGCCCTGAAGAGCCACATTCAGAGCCCAACCTGGCCCCATCTGGATTCTGGTTTGACTGCATCCCATGTTACACAGTCTAGTTTGGAGTTCTGTGTTTGAAGACTAAGATTAATTCTTCCTGCTCAGGTTGGACCAACTTCCTTAATTTATTTGCTTACTATCATAAATCAGAGTCTGAGAACATCAGAAAAGGGAACTCAATCTAAGAAAAGGCTATACCTAGACCATAAGTCCCTACTGGGAGGGCTGGGGCCAGAACTTTGCCCTCCATTTCCAAATGCTCCCTTTCAGTGCTAACTAAAGAAAAGACTATGCATACTAGGTTGAAAAACAAATCTGTTCTGAGTATTAAGTGAAAACATTCTTTTTTTATATTTTTATTTATATTTTTATTGTGAGATACAGTCTCACTAAGTTGCCCACGCTGGGCATGATCTTGTGATTCTCCTCTCTCAGCCTCTGAGAGTACAGGGATTACAGTCCTGCATCACTGCACCCACTTGAAAACATTCTTAATGAAAGAGATAATCATATACATGATTATAAAACTGGAGTGCATATTATAATCGTCCATCCTGAGGGCTCATGCACACCTCAAACAAAACATATCCACAAATCAAAGACGCTAGGTGAGTGTTTTTGATTCTGTTCCAATACTCATTTCTGTATATTATCTAACTGCATAGGCGAGTACAGTACCAGAAAGAAGCCGACCACTACTGAGGAATGTAGCGATTCTGCCCAACTTCAGCAGCCGTTTCTAAGTTTTGCTGTTATGTGCAACATATACTTTGTTTTTGATAGGTATCAACTATCACTTCACTGAGGTTTTTCTATTAAAAGGTTGCTGAAACAGTTTTTGTGATTTAAATGATAAATTCTGTTAAGTACTGTCTTCCTTACAAGACTCAAATGTTCCAAAAGAACAGGAAATATTACTCATCATGACATCACTACTGCCTGGTGCATGAAGTTACTGAATGAGTTTGCATGATAGGGATGTAGCTTAGTGGTAGAGCATTGGCCTAGCATGGGGCAGGGCTTGGGTTCTTTCGTGAGTGCCTCAGTGGGGAGAAACCCAGAAACTTACTCGCTCATCACCAGTGGTGGCAGAGTTAGTCAGTGCGGTTCCCAAAATACCCGCATCAAAATCAACCAGGGTAGCTTATTTAAAAAAAATAGTAAGACACAAAGCCAGGCACAGTGGCACACATCTGTAATCTTAGTACTCCGAGAGAGCTGAAGCAGGAGAATCCCAAGTGTGAGCCCAAACTGGGCAACTTACCAACTTAGTGAGACCCTCTGTCAAAATAAAAAAGGGTTGGGGATACAGCTCACCAATACCACCAACAAAAAAACAAAAGCCCTGACTTGGGTCCCACTCCAGACCTATGGAATCAGAATCTGAGTGTGCACACAAGAAAGTTACCTAAACAAGTATCCCAACATCTGCTAAACTCCAAACCACAGGCTAACAGTCAAAATTTCCTATTGTCAGCAAAGTCCTCAGCACTTGGAAAATGCTACCTTCCCCTTCACACATCCCGCTTTGTCCCATCTTGGTGTCTACCTGAGCTGCTTCTCCACTTGTCTCTACATATTCAAATAACTACTCACGGCCTAAAGCCAAATTAAATGATCCTTCCTTTATGAAACTTCCATGATCTGAGAAATCTCATCCGGGATTCCAAAACCCCCTATCTGAGAACAATCAAGGCACTTTTTATTCTCCTTGGAGACAGCTAGAAGTTATATGTGGCCACTACATTTTCTCCACTACACTGTGAGCTCTGAAGAAGCAGGATGTAGGACTCAACTGCCTCACCATCCTCCAAGAAGCCTTGCCCACAGGGATCAACCAATATCAGGCAAACAAATGAAGAAAAGGGAAGGGAAATTCTACCCATGGGAAGCACAGGGTCTGTTACTTGGTACTTGCTCCACTTTGGGGTTTATATCCTCTATAGCAGTGATGGCCAGCCTTTTAGAGCTTTCAATGATACACATGTGGTAGGTTTGCCACCACTGCTCTACAGAGTCTCTGCTGAGGGCAAGACAGGCTTGAGAAAGGTCCTCAATGAAGGATGAGAGGGAAGTGGGACTACCAAGCACCTGCTGCTCTTCCAGAAAAGATTCTAATGCCCTACACCTTGGCATCTCCACAGTTAGGGCCTCATGTTTGGTTTGTTTTGGGTAACCCACAAACATCCAGACTGTGATTCTGATGTAACAGTAATCCCAACACCAGCTCCCTTAGCGTCCATCAGGGATCTCCAGGGCATTTTTGCTTTTGAGACAGGATCATGCTGTGTAGTTCAGGCTGCATTCCCAGCAATCCTTCTGCCTCAGCCTCCTGGGTGTTTGGATTACAGGTAGGTACCAAAAACTGCCCAGCGTCTCCTCAGCATTTTATAGTAGCCTTCCCACCTTCCCTAGCCACAACAGCTCTGTCCTGTTTGAGGTCCTGTGCCACTGGCTGGAGAAACCAAAACACAGCAAATTCAGATTACAAAATAACACACCCAGGAATCAAATAAGGACAAGCCAAGCATGGTGGTGCATGCTTGTAATGCCAGGACTTTGGATGGCTGAGGGAAAAGGATCACAAGTTTGAGCATGCCCAGGGAACTTAGCAACTGAGAGTCTGTGTCAGTATTAAAAATAAAATAAAGGGACCAGGGATTTAGCTCAGTGGTTTCACCGCCTGCTGCACAAGTGCAAGGACCCAAGTTCGATCCCCAGTACCTAAAAAAAAAATAACAAGAAAATAATAAAATAAAATACAATAAAAAGGGCTGAGGGGGCAGGGATTTAGCTCAGTGGTGCTGCCGCCTGGTTGTAAACGTAAGGTCCCAAATCTGATCCCGGTACCAAAAAAAAAAAGAAGGGCTGGGGGGACTGGAGAAATAGCTCGGCACACAGGCCCAGGATTCCATTCCCAGTACAGCAAGACAAAATAAATAAGAAGGACCACCAGAAAGTTCTACCTAGACAACTGAATCATCAAAGATAAGGATGAGTAGTGCTCAAGAAAACCTTACTAGTGCTCATTCGGCAGCACATATACTAAAAGAAGAGCTTGCTGGCTATCCTGTGATTGCTCAGCAGTGTGTGGATGCACTCTTACATTTGAGCACCACCTACCAGGAAAAACACAACAGGACTCCCATGCTAGGTGACATCTTCTTCCCTACCCTCAAAGGCAAAGTAAGCCCGTAACCCTGATCCCTGTACCTGTCAATGAGGGAATCCCGCATGCTGGTGGCAATGGTGCTGGGCTGGGCCTCATTCAGCTTGAAGACGCTCTCCACCACCGACAGTTCCGTGCTGGTTGTGTCCAGCCCGCAGAAGGCACACCAGTCATTCACCACCATCCCAGCAGCAATCACCTCACTGCCTCGGTTCACAGTGCCCGCCTGCCAAGAATGGGCTCGGTGTGGGACACGGCACCAGCAGCCAAAGTCTCTCCCCTCCCCAGTGAGGACTCTTCCCAATCCTGCTCCCTGAACCTCAGCCCCGGTCCCAAACTAAGTCAGGTGATTCCAGAACGCTGGGCAAAGGCATCTGCTTCGGCAGGAGACAGGGGCCAGGGCGCAGGAAGTCTTACCACAAGGGGCACCTGGAGAAGAGAGGACAGCTCATCCTGATCTTCAATTGAAGTCTTGGGATGCACCAGCCCTCCCTGATTGCTGAAGACACAGTAGCTTCCCACTAACACCTGTTCAGCCACTGTCTGTCTGAAGACCTCCACCTTGAGCACATCAGCCAGGATTTCTTCTGTCTCCTGTCAGCCAAAGATACTGTCGTTCAGGGCTCAGGATAGATAAGCCAGAGAACCCGGAGCCCCTCATTTCTCTGCTACACAGCTACACATGGAAGCCTCACTCGGGGAAAGGACAGGGTACAGCTTAGTGTGGAGACTGGGCCAGCTCTGCAGCCCCTCAGACCCAAGCATACCCTGAACACTGGGGACTGGCCTCCCTGTCACCCTTTTCCCTCTAACACACCCTCCGGTTTGACTGTCAGTCATCTGTCCCGCCCACGCCTGGGCCACTCTCCCCAAATCTTTAACCCTGAAGGATTAATGGTCTCCCAGCTTCTGACACTGACCATACCACCGAGGCCCCTGTTACCTCTTTTCCTACTGACTGCTTGAAATACAGAGAAACCACAAGAGATGATGCTAATTTCTGCCTGTGAGGTGAAAACGATAGCTAATCTCAGCCTTGGCTGGTCCTATGGCTCTTGAGACAAGTTGGGCTACCTCACCCTGTCCAGGTCTGGGTGGACCAAGGCCACATAGTCATTGCAGGTGGTAACATTGCCCAGGGCTGATAACCGCTCCTCCACCCGCCGGATCTGCACTGAGTCTGGGAGGCAGTTGCGAATGTGCTGCAGCTCCTGGTCAGTGGTGTTGTTGGGCAGCAGGAGCCCGTGCCTGTTCCCTGGAGAGACCCAAATTGGACAGTGAGGCAAACACAGACCATGAATAAGGAGATGCTTCTGGGACCTCAGGGATCAAGATACAACCCGATACAACCCAACCCAACCCAACCCAACCCAGCCCAGCCCAGCCCAGCCCAGCCCAATTAATTTTCCAAGACAGCTTCAGTCTCAACCCCCAGGTCTCCAGCCCACTGATTCATTCATTGCACAAGAGTACCAGGTCCCCTGGGCAGGCCCAAGATGGCCAGGAATCTATCCCAACAGACCTTACTCACTTCCTCATCATCAGATCATAGGAAAAAGATATGGTCCTTGGCACACTGTATATTTTGATACCCATAAACTACATGTAGCTAAAAAAAAAAAACTACATGTAGCTAACGCTACTTACCTACAAGAGTGGCTAAAATTTAAATTGAATATCAATACCAAATGCTGGCAAAAACATGGAACAAATGAAACTCATACACTGACAAGAGTGAAATGGTCAACCACTTTCAATATAATCATGTAGCATTATCACCAGATAGTCACATAAACTGTGACTCTGCCTAACTTCTGTACCATAAAATAGAGAATGCCTATGCAGAATACCTAACTTGTAGGTATTATACATCCAACAGAAATATATACATATTGCCACCAGCACACCTGTAGTCCTAGCACTTGGGAGGCTGAGGGAGAAGGATCACCATGAGTTCAAGGCCAGCCTGGGATACATAGTTCAAGACCAGCCTGAACTACATAACAAGACCCTATATGAAAGAAAAAAAAGGAAAAGAAAAGAGGGAGGGAAGGAGGGAACCAAGGAAGGAAGGAAGAGAGAGAGAGAGAGAGAGAGAGAGAGAGAGAGAGAGAGAGAGAGAGAGAGAGAGACATATGTTCATACTTATAGAGAGGAACTATTGCTATGAGACCAAATGGCAAACTGCCCAAAAGAATAGATGGAATCCACTCTGGAATATCCCTACAAAACCTACTCCACAGCACCAAGAAGGATCAAAGTTTAATGGCATTGTCACAATTATGGGTAAAATTCTCTGTATCCTTGTAAGCCCACAACTCTGAACCTCAGAACTGAGAGTTGCTCTCTTATAGTACGAAGAGGGCTACGCTAAATTCACTTATTCTTTGAATTTACTTCAAATCTAACGGGCATGGTGAGAGATCAGGGTGTTTTTCTTGTTATTCTTCGATCAAAGTGTTTGAAATGAATTAGAAAACAAAGGTCATGATGTTCAAGATTTTTTACATTAGAAGTAAAAAAATAAGACTTGTGTGACTCCAATCTACAGAACTAAGAAACAAGGAGTGGCAATAACAGGACACAGAGCCAGCTTAAAGAAAGGAGGGGAAAAAAAGGAGGAATGGCCACAGCCAACAGCTCTGAGAGATTAGAGAGCAGAAATGCCAGTACAGACATGGAAAAGGGAACTGAGGATTTAAATGTACAAGATAACCCGGACTCTGGGCCTGTCATGTCACAGAGGCAGAAATGCATGCTCAGAACCAGGAAGGAGCTTGTTTATGGTCAGTACAGAAGAGATGAAATTAAAATCCTCTGCCACATTAGGTGTGGTACTCGGTGAGTCACCTAGATTCTCTAATCTCATTAGTCAAATTAAGACACTAATTTCTACCTCTAGAGAACAAGAGCAACACTACTTGTTTCTGGGCCGGGGATACATGTAGCTCAGAGGTGCACCACCTGCCTGGCAAGCTTAAGGCCGTGAGTTCAATTCCTGTTACCAAAAAAAAAAAAGTACTTTTTTCCTTTTTTTGTGGTACTACTAGAAAATAAACCCAGGGGCTCTCACACACTAGGGAAGCCTCTAACACTGAGCGACTTGCCTTTTTCACGTTTAGACAGAGTCTTCCTAAGGTGCCCAGGTTGGGATCCAACTTGCCATCCTTCTGCCTCAGCGTTCTAAGTAGCTAGGATACAGCCCTGCGAAGCTGAACCTGACTGTGCTATTTCTTTTGGCTGTCATTTGTATTTATTATTCTCAAGAAGTCTTTGGTAGAGCCTGTCCTTGTTCTCCTGACTGTTCTCAGATTGGGTCCCAATCAGCCCCGAGAGACTGCAGACCACGGAGATCATGAATGAAGGCTTGGAAACTCCTAGGTCGCCCCGCGTTCCCTCCAGGGATATGATTAATAATTAATGGTAGGGGTCGGGGACTTAGCTCAGTGGTTCCGGCGCCTGCCTCTCAAGCGCAAGGTCCCCAGTTCGATCCCCGGTACCAATAATAATAATTATTATTACTATTACTATTATTATTATTCCTAATGGTGCTTGGAGGCTCCACTCTCTCCCTAGGCGTCCTCCACATGCCTTACCCACACACATGCGCCCGATGATGCGGCAGCCGGCGATGGACGCGTGCACCACGGGGATGGTATCGGCGAGCTCGCCCTCGAACACGCTGTAGGGACACAGACTCGGAGGTCACCAGCCCGGTCACACTCAGCCGGAGCTCCCGACCTCCGCAACCTTCCCGCTCCGCCGCACCTGTAGAAGTTCTCTGATCCTCCGATGGCCACCAGGCAGTAGGTGTTGGTGAGTTTGGCAAAGCAACCGATCTCACAGTTGTTCTCGAAAGACGCTCGCACCGCCATGACGGAGGCCTTGAGGTTCCCCTCCCGTGAGCTCAGGGTCGACGGATCGGCTACCGCTAAGTCCCAGGTCTCGGGGCCTCGTGCCCTCTGGAGCGTCGCGACCCCGCCCTTCGAAGCCGGTCAGATTTCGGCTACCGCCCACTGGCCCCCTCCTACTCGGACCCCTGTCCTCAGGCCCCTCCCTTTCCCACCGGGATCGAGCTGACCCTAGCGGCCTCCCTTCACACCAGCTCACCTAGCGACACCTAAATTCACACGCCACTACTCCTTCCTTCCCGAAGAGCTTTCCGTTTCCGCCGCGGCCCGGAGAGACTTCCGGCAGAGTCCGGCGTGCCAGCCACGCCTGCGCCCCTCTAGCCCCACCCCGGGGAAGGACTCCGTGGCTCCAAATGCTCTGTCCCGCGCCCCGCCCGGCGCCGCACCCCGCCCGGCGCCGCTCTCCGCACGCTCGCCTGCCCTCATTGGTTCGTTCGTTCTTTCACTCCGGAGCTTTTTGGGAGGTTCAGGCGACTAAGATCTGTGGCTGGTCGGTGTGACACGAGGGAGAGGAGGAGGCAGAGCCGTCTCCAAGGAGGCGGGGGTGATGAGGGAGGTATTGACTGACATGAAGTAGGAGGCTCAAGGGTGGCTTTAGGAGAGCGGATGGACCCAGTTCCGCCAAGCGCACAGAGGTCCTGATGTGGAGCCCAGGCGAGAGTGAAGGGCTGAGGAGTGAGATCTGGGGCCAAGCTGGGGTGGATGACGTCACCTGGGAGAAGGTGTCCAGAGGGAGAAGTGAGGCAGGATCACAGGCTGCTGGATGCTAGGCCATACCAGCAGAGGAAAACAGGCGGGTGGGGCGGGGATTTAGCTCAGTGGTTTCGCCGCCTGCTGCGCAAGCTCAAGGACCCGAGTTCGATCCTCGATACCAAAAAAAAAACCAAAAAAAACAGGCGGATGACCGAGTAGGAATATGAATGTGACTGAAGCAGGTTTAGGGAGTAGTTGGAGTCGCATGGGCCAGGTTGGGCGAGGATGTGGGGCCTGACTTGCTTCCACGACGTGCTTCTCATGCGT